ATGTGAAATGCAGTATTTTAAAACAATTTTTGATGGGAGTGTAATTAGCATACAGTGTTGTCTTACTTTCCAGTGTACAATATAATTCAGATTCAGCAACCTGTGTATTATTCAGTGCTCATCATGATAAGTGTACTCTTAATCCCCTTTATCTATTTTACCCATCCCCCTACCCACCTCCCTTCTGGCAACTACCAGTTTTTTCTTTATCTTTTTAAGAGTCTGATCTTTTGTTTGTCTCTCTCTCTCTTTTTGTTCTTTTGTTTCTTAAATTCCACATATGGATGAAATCATCTGCTATTTGTCTTTCTCTGTCTGATTTATTTCACTTAGCATTATACCCTCTAGGCCCATCCATGTTGCAAATGGCAAGATCTCCTTCTTTTTTATGGCTGTGTAATATTCTATCATTATCCATATCTTTTGTATCATCTTTAGCCATTCATCCATAATATTTGAAAATTAATATAATATTTAAAAAATTAATGTATTTTAAAAAGTTCTACTGGTTCATTTTCTAACTTCCGGTTGTACCCATGTAAAATATTTTGAGTATTTTTGTATTTGTGTGTGTGTGTCTACACACACACTGCATCCATTTTTTTGCAATAGTTTTTATATTTATTTATTTATTTATTTATTAAGAGACAGCATGAGCAGGAGAGGGTCAGAGAGAGAGGGAGACAGAATCTGAAGCACGCTCCAGGCTCTGAGCTAGCTGTCAGCACAGAGCCTGATGCGGGGCTCGAACTCACGAACCGTGAGATCATGACCTGAGCCAAAGTCAGACGCTCCACTGACTGAGCCACCCAGGTGCCCCTGTTTTTATTTATTTTTTAATGATTATAATTTATTTTCAAATTGGCTTACATACAGTACCCAGTGTTCATCCCTCCTCAATGCCCTCCTCAGTGCCCATCACCCATTTTCCCTCTACCCCACCCCCCATTCACCCTAAGTTTGTTCTCTACATTTAATAGTCTCTTGTGGTTTGCCTCCCTCCCTCTCTGTTTGTATCTTTTTTTTTCCCTTCCCTTCCCCCATGGTCTTCTGTTCAGTTTCTCAAGATCTACATAAGAGTGAAAACATACGATATGTGTCCGCTGACTGACTTATTTCACTCAGCATAATACCTTTCAGTTCCATCCATGGTGCTGCAAATGGGAGGATTTCATTCTTTCTCATACTTTGCATCCATTTTGAACAGTCTCCTTTGAGTCTTTGCTCCGTAACATGGATGTTTTAGAGCGCTTTACTTTTCTTACTGCTCTATCACTCAACTTCTGAAGGCTATACCTCTGCTTTTACATTTTCCAAATTGAAAACATTTACAATTCATTTTGTAACCATAATTAATCTTGTTAATTTCTGTAGCTTGATTCTTGTTCTGAAACCCCATAGAGAATATTATGGTCTTATTTATGTAAGTTTCCATTCCCTTGTCTTTGGTCCTAATGCCCACATGGCACTTGAGGAAGGTAATATCAAGGCCAAATGGAGTGTCTTCTCTTATACTTTAGCAATTTCTCATAATTATCTACATTTTAGTTTGTTGCACTTTTTTTTTTTAATTTTTAAAAAAATGTTCTTATTTATTTCTGAGAGAGAGAGAGAGAGACAGTGTGAGCAGGGGAGAGTCAGGGAGAGAGGGAGATATAGAATCGGAAGCAGGCTCCAGGCTCTGAGCTAGCTGTCAGCACAGAGCCCCACGCAGGGCTCAAACCCACGAACCGTGAGATCATGACCTGAGCCGAAGTCGGGTGCTTAACCAACTGAACCATCCAGGCACCCCTAGTTTGCTGCACTTTGGAGTCATGACTCTTCTGTATAGTTTTTATTTTCTTAGGATTTTTTTCTGATTTGTTTTCTTCAAGATTTTCTTTCCATTTTTTATATTTTGGAGTTTGAATATGTCTGGGTGTAATTTTTTTTTTTTTTTTTTTTTTGGTATTTATCCTGTTGTATTTGTAGATTGGTGCCTGTCATTAATTTTGGAAAATTCTTAGCCATTACAACTTCAAATGTTTTTTTCTTAAAAATTTTTTTTAATGTTCATTATTTTGAGAGAGAGAGAGACAGAATGAGAGCAGAGGAGGAGCAGAGAGAGAGGGAGACACAGAATCTGAAGCAGGCTCCAGGCTCTGAGGGGTCAGCACAGACCCTAACAGAGGGCTTGAACCCACTGATCTTGAGGTCATGACCTGAGCTGTAGTCGGATGCTTAACCTACTGAGTCACCCAGACGTCCCTTCAAACTTTTTTCTATTCTTTTCCTTCTGGAATTCTTTTTTTTTTTTTTTTTTAATAAAGACAGTGCGTCTGTGCATGAGTACTAGCAGGCAAGGGTCAGAGAGAGAGGGAGAGAAAGAATCTCAAGCAGGATCCACATTAGCACAGAACCTGACACAGGGCTGGGATCATGACCTGAGCAGAAACCAAGAGTCAAAAGCTCAACTGAATAAGCTACCCATGTACCCCTGGAATTCTTATTATGCATATATTATACCTTTTGTAATTATACCACAGTTCTGGGATATTTTGTTTCATCTCTTTATTCTTGTTTGTCTTTGCATTTAAGTTTGGTAGTTTCCATGGACATATCTTCAAGTACTCTGATTTTTTTCCTTAGCTGTGTCCAGTCTGCTAATAAACTGAATCAAAGACATTTTTTCTTCCTTTTAACAATATTTTTTAATTCTAGCATTTCCTTTTGGTTCTTTCTTAGTGTCCATCCATCTTTTTACACTACCCATCTATTCTTGAATGTTTCCCCTTTTTCACTAGAGCCATTAGCACATTATTTACAGTTATTTGAAATTCACTGCCTGTTGATTCCAAAATCTGCCACATCTGATTCTGATGCTCAGTGTCTCTTCAAGACTTTTTGATTTTTGTTTATTTCCTTTTAGCATGCTTTATAATTCTTTGTTGAAAGCCAGCTATGATATATTGGGTAAAATAATTGAGAATAGACACCGTTAGTGGGATGTTTTAGATTTACCTGGCTAGGAGTTAGGCTTTGTTTACTGTTGGCTCTGAGGGTGGTATCAGAGTCAAAAATTTCCTCTGGCATCCTGATTTTTGTCTCCCCTGTTGTCTTTGGTTTTTCCTGGGGATTCTGTAGTGCGATAGTTAATTTTCTGTGTAAACTTGACTCAGACAGAGCACTCAAATATGTGGTTAAACATTATTTCTGGGGGTGTCTGTGAGAGTGTTTTCACGTGAGGTTAACATTTGAATCTGTAGACTGAGTAAAGAAGATGGCCCTCCCCAAAGTTGGGTGGACCTCATCCAATACACTGAAGGTCTGAATAGAATAATAGGTTGGGTAAGAAAGAATTCTTTTTCTCTGCTTACTGTCCTGGATTTGGGACACTTACCTTCTCTTGCCTTTACACTAAGACTAAGATAGAGACTAAAAACCTTATATCATCAGCTTTTTCAATCTGCTTTCTTTGTCCTAGAAATCTGTTGGAATCCTTGTTGGGCTGATGACCATGCCTCATGTTTTGCATTGTTATTATGCTATTTGTTTTGTATATTCATGATATTATTTCAGCAGAGTCTTTGTTGGAATGTGGATGTTTACTCTGTCTCCTTGAATCCAGAATTTTGGTTATTTAAAATTTGTCTTATTTATCTAAATGATATGTCAGTAATCCATTTAAAAATGTAAGCAATATACATCGTACAGAACAAAAAGTTAATATCTGCCTTTATTTCTTACCCACTTACCCTTTATTTCCTTCTCATCAGCTGAATTTTGCCACATATAACCCTCTTTTCCCACCACTGCTTCTCATATTTAACTACCGTAAATAGGTTGGTAGATAGCTTCATGGACTTTTTTCAATATATTTTGAATCAAATGTAGAGATTTGTTTCATTTTATAATAAATGAGATTATAATCCATATATTGTTTATGTACCTTGATTTTTGGGAAGACTGTTAAGTAATATGTTTTAAATATCTAGTCATAATTAAGTAAATATTTCCCCCAAATTACCTGATATAAATTTGGATTTTATTTTTTCCCTCAAGATAGCTATATTAGATGTCATACATATGTCTGATATAATTTCATAATTATCTGATAATAATTTTATAATTTAGACTCTACTTACTTTTAATTAAATTTCCCACTTAAGCATTTTTCTCTTTCACAGTGAATTCTACAAAAATAGAAATTCTAGGCCACTTAACATCAAAGCATTTTAGCTTTTATTATCCTTGTTTTATAAGAGAAGAAACCAAAGCTCAGAAATATTGTGATTTTCCAAGGTCACATGGATGATAAGTAGGCCTGGAGCAGATCTCCTGGGTTTCTGGACTAGTGGTATGTGTTCTTTTAAGCCAGGTCATACTTCTCAGATGGTTGACAGTTACCCTACCCAAGAGAAAATTAAACTAGTGATATATGTGAAATATTCTTTAACCTTGAATAAACTAAATCTCATACAAGTAATAAGTAAGAAGAAATTCATGAGAAATATAACCATTAGCTTTAGGCATATGCACAGTTAAAATTTCTCAGTGCATAGAAAACAAAGATAGTCTAGACCATGTGTGTAAAGGACGACTTGCCCACGTTCCTCTTTCCTCTCAGCCCAGGTCGTTAAATGGTTAACTACTCCCTTTTCTAAACTTTATTGTGCTTTTGACCCTGCATTATGATTTGTTTACATGTCCATCTCCCCTCTTGGTATTTTACTCCTTGATCATTTGGGAAACTTTGGGAACTTTGTCTTTTGATGCCTGACCCCTGGCACCTGGGCCGGTACATGTCTCACTAAATGTTTCTTGAGTGAATTGACACTTTCTGTTACAGATGCTAAGTTCATTAGGTTTCATTCCTCAGGGTAACTAACTGCAGGCTGTGAGAAATATTAAATTTTATGAGTAATACGTTAGGGAGGAGAGTCTAAGTAGTTCTTATGACAGTTATGAGATAGGACAGTGTAAAGCAAGCTTGAAAAGATGGTCACATTTTTTTTTTTCAGATTTCTTAATTTGTGGACTGAAGGCACCACAGTTTTAGAAATTGTGCGGAGAATAAGCACACATCTAATGAAAACATTCGAGTGAATTTTGGGGTAAGTATATTTTTAGTATCACTCTTGCTAAGTAGAACCCTTTACCTTTTGTTCATTTATTTTAAGGCATGTCAGGTTCAGGGTCTTGGATGAGCTAAAGTATCTAGCTAGAACTTAACATTTTGATTTCGCTCTTTTATTTATTTACAATAACTCTCCATTTATGATAAATATGAGTTTTCCATCTATGGTCTCAGCATAAATTTTCCTTTAATGATAATTTATGTTTTCATGCGGACCAAGTTAGAGAAATAGAAGTAAATGACAGCACAGGAGGGACAGGTACTTAATTATGGCAGTGGTATTTGAATGCCTAACATTCAGGCACACTGGGTTTTAGCATAAGGTTAGAGCTGGCTTCTGATTCTAGCAGCACATTCACAAAGATCAAATTGGTACAGCTGGGTAGTCCGAATCAGTAGGTGTCGCTGACTCCTCAGTGTGTTATGGTGGAGAACCACTGGCTGAAGGTGGAGACTTATTGAGAGCCCTGTACAGCTTTAGGAAGACCAAGGCTGTGAGACATAGGCCCAAGTCTGAGTCCAGAAGGCCATTAACAGCAGGCTTTTTGAGAGTCAGTTTGCTAACCTCCCATCAACTCTTCCGTGTACTCCGGTTGGGCTTCCACCCATCCCATGTTACTGTATCACTGTAGCTCCTATTCATATTCAAGTTTGACCTTCCCCAGGAGACATTTGTCAATACTTATCTTACTTGACATGTCATTAGCTTTCAATGTGTATTGTATCTCCACTGTTCCTTGCACTTTTTTTTTGCCTTGGCTTCCGTGACCCCCTCTTCTCCTGGTTGGCCTTTTAAGTCATATAATTTCAAGAAGGCAGCCAAAGAGATAGAGGCCAGCTTTGCAGGCTGATTCTCATCTGTCAAGTCACTAAATGTTGAGTTTTAAAGCTGTTCATAGATTCTTTTTTTTTCCCTCTGGACCCTTGCGCCGGGTAGTTTAATTCACATTCAAGGCTCATTTCTCACCTGTGTGCAGAAGGCTTGTAAAGGAGTGGATCAGGTTGGACCCCTTCCCTAGACTGCAGACTTCTGTCCCTAATTGTCCTCTTGACAGCTTCACCTTATAGACACCTGCAAGTCATGTCCACATCAATATTTGAGTTGTCTTCCTCCCCATCCCCTGACTCCCTCATCAAACCTAGTCCTTCTGTCCGATTTTCTTTCTCACCATATGATGTCATTCTATACATTACCAAGGCCAGAAACCTAGAGTTACCCTAATACTTCCTATTCCCTTTACATCTGTGTTCATTTCATCTCTAAGTTTTGTTACTTATACCACTTAAATATTTCCCACAGATCTCTCTCTGTCTTTCATTCTGGATCATTATTACTTCCATTGTCCTGTCTAAGCTACCATTTTCTTTCCTCAGCCATTTCAATGGCTTCTGTGTGACCCTTTCTCTACTTTTCTCCTCTCTGTACTTTCCTTCCCCCATTCTATTGTTTACACTTTAGTGAGAATATTTATTTCACGTATTACAATCACATCCCCTTGCTTGGAACTCTTTTGATGACTATTCATTGCTCTTAGGATAAAAATCCAAACCTTCAATGTAAACTTGAAGACCTTGCATGATCCGACCCTACCTCTTCCCAATAAGGCCTGATCCCACTCCCTACTTCTGCCTGCTTGTTCACTAAACTGTCCTGATTCTTCTTCCTTGGTGTGTACTGATCCTTCTGCCCGAGGTGCTGCATCTCTTTTCACCCCCATCCTTCTGCATTTGCCCACTTTTAACACGTTCATATGTCCACAAAAGGATCACTGGCTCAGAGAGACTTTACCTTTCCTCCCTGACTCTAGCAGGCCCTCCTGCAATGAGCTAACATGCCACCATATACCTTCCTTCCCTTCCTGGCACTTAATCATGGTAATAATTTCACTTCTGTTTGTGCTTGTTAGTTTAGGTCTATCTCCTGTGCTGCGTTCCATGAGAGATACCTACACCATGTTCACTGTTGTTCACCTGAGTCCTCACTTGTTAGGAAAATCCTCACCATAGTACTTAATCTGTCTGAACTAAAGAAAGAACAAAGAAAGACAGTGAAGTTGGGTGTTGGAAAAAGGGGAGAGTAGGGGTTATGAGCAAGAGAAAGGCAAATGATTTTTGTTGTCTTCACTATTTAGCTCTGGTTCCTCTTGGTGGAACTGTGCACCTTTGAGGTATTAGAGAGAGTGAAATTAAGAGTATGCAGTAGTACTGCTTCTTCGAATGTTTCTGTTCCCTGTTTTGTATATCTCTTCACGAGGTAGGTTTTGGCATGATAGTATACTTACAGAAATGATTAATTGTGAGAATTGAAATATAAAAGCTTTGCTTGATAAAAAATATTTTCATTGGTTGGGAAAATTTTCCCAGGGTGGGGTTTCTAGGGTGTCCATTTCTATAGTCACTTGAATGGTTTTTGATGGTATCAGCTAGATCTTTTGTAGAGTACTTGCCAAAAAGTGAATCTCTGTTCATTTAAAAATCATCCATTTGTGTGCAGGGAAAATTGCCTGTCATGGTTTGAAAGGATTATTTATGGTTTCTAAACATCCACCTTTCCCAACTCGGCTCATATATTGCCTTTACAAAATGGAATTTAATTCCATTAGAATGTTCTATTGTCCAATATATGCACCTTGTTATAACATGATTACATTCAATTGCTCTGCTTGCCATATTAGAAAATGACAAACTATATCAACTAGTTTTTAACTTTTTATTCTAGTATTTACTGGTGACTGTGACTAATGCTATTGATGATCACCTTAAGAGATAATCACTAGGAACAGTAATGTTTTGCACTGACCCAAGAAAAAATAGTTCATGGTTATATAGAAAAGAGTAATAATGGAAAATGATTATAAATATAGTCTCCAAGGATAAAGGCTTACAGAATGGAAAAAAGAAGGGTAGAGTTTAAATGACATCTCTTTGTATTCGAATCTTAGAAATAGTTTCTTTGGCTTATATTGAATTTTATTAAGTTTGATGTTAAACATACATGACATAAAAAGAACATTGTATGAATATGATTTTTTCTGTAACTAAAAGTTCTGGAATTCCTTAATTCTTGATGTATGTTTCTGTATTAACATGGTGATGGCTGGGGGTGAGGGACAGGCTGAAATGTGACAAAATGGTCTCAACTGTGCCTTGAACCTGAGAAATTGTGATACAGAGATGTATCCATTCTGAAGGGTACCTGTCAAATTTCAAAAACTGGCTCTGTCGTACTGCTTGGCCAAATGCTTGCTTACTAGGAGGAGACACCATCTGCTTTAGGCATTACTCACACTGAGGGGTACATGAACAGTAATTAGGAAGAAATACAGCATAGGTTGTTAACAAAAAAAAGCTTTGGAGGAATTTGACACTGTGCATGAACATATAATTAGGAAGGACACTCGGATGCGGAAGTTTGAAGGGAAATGCATACATTAGGTATTCAAATCCAAATTTATTTTTAAAAACCAAATTGTATTTTTTTAGGCAAGAGCAGTCTGTAGGATTTTAAACATCTATGTCTTCCTTTCTCTTTGTCTTCTTCCACAATTGAGAGTAATGATCTTAGTAATGTTGCTGTGGTTTTTGACCATGACCTTTGGATTAGAATTTGTGTGGTTCCTTATAGCTACTTTGTAGGAGCAAGTGCCTTTCTTGGGCCATATTTTTTCCTAAGAACCAGTATGCAAATTCATTGAGGGTAGAAGCCATCACTCTTTTGTTCATCTGTGGCTCTCTATAGCCTGGGACATACAGTGTTCTCAACAAATACTTGTCTGGATGGTAGACTGGTAACAAATAAAAGGAGACTTCTGATTGGTATTATTTATAGATAGCAGATGTAATGAAGACCATAATTGAGTACTTGCTGAATGCTCAGTATCGCTTAATGTGCTATGCAGGTATAAAACAGAGGGTTCTTCTGATCCTTTTAGACAAAGGAGGGGAAAATAAGGCACAGTATCAAAATATACCTTATCCACAGTGGTTAAACTAAAGAAAAAGTCATTCCCCTTGATGTCAAGTACAGACTAATGAAAAGATTCTCAAGGTGATTTTTGTGTAAAAACTTTGCTTTGTGAAATAGATGTATTTATGAAGAGTTATGTTAGTTAATAATGTATGCAGACAATGAAGGGCAAATTACTGTATAAAACAATTCTTATTGAAGAATTACTTATAAAATGGGTGACGATGATTTATTCTCTATGTAACTGAATATTTCATCTTTCATAAAAGTATAAAATTTAGTATAGTAGTACAAAAGAGACACAAGTGTTACTTAGATAGAACTAAAGGTTTCTTTTATGTTGCCATACAATGCCTTCCATCATGGAAGGCATTTTTTTTAAGTTTATTTATTTATTTAGACAGAGACAGTGAGAGTGGGGGAGGGGCAGACAGAGAGGAGAGAAAATCCCAAGCAGGCTCTACACCATCACCACAGAGCCCCATATGGGGCTCAAACCCACAAAACTGTGACATCATGACCTGAACTGAAACCAAGAGTCAGACACTTAACCGACTGAGCTCCATTATGGAATTTTTATAGAGTGCTATCAAGATCCCATCTTGCTTTACAAGTAGAATGCAAATTTTATCACATGAGGCAAACCAAACAAAAATCACCCTAATTTCTTCAGTCTGCTGTAAGGTAACTTATTTGTTTTTACCGTGAGCATCTTGAACTAAAGTCAGGTTGGGTCCACCCGTCTATGTATGAATATATATACAAAATATTCTATACTGTATTTTATATATTTATATGTATCTAGGAAGCCTATATGTATATATATGTCTGTCTCTATCATCTCCGTTTCTATCTGTGTAACTTTACCTATATATCTCTATCTCTATATAAAATTCCCTAGAGAGATTCCTGAACTTAGAACCAATATTTCAAGAAAGACTGAGCCAATAATGAGAACTATGCTTATTGCATTATTGATGAAAGAAATAAGAATAGTGGAGACTTTTAGT